AGCACACATGTGGTGGTTTTCCATCCCCGCCTCCAGACAAACGTTCCGTCAAACAGAAACGAGAGCCATGCTGACTCTTTTCGTGCGTTTTTAAAGATGCACCGGGCCTGTGTGAGCCCCTAAGTACCGTCGGAAATGTTTGCAGTACGTCCTCGATTGGGTAAGACATCGCGCCGACCACAAAGTCTAAGGTCAGCATCAACCTATCGAAAGATCTGGACAGTTTAGTAGTACGTGAAAAAGTGAGACGGACGCCGGCAAATGAGCAAATCAGCACCTTCCTGCTCATCATCATCAGCATCATCTCCAAAACGGGGGTTATACCATAGTGACTCCTTCTACATATGGTCGCGATGACCGTTCCAACTTCTTGAGATCGACCTTCAATATGCACCACACGGTAGACAGTTTCACGCCAACTCAGTTATCGGACGCAATCTCATTCCAAATTCTTTGGACCCTGATATATGGGCAAGGAGTGTGGTTAATGCAGCTTGCATCAGACACTCATCTCCTCATTGTAAATGACCACGCGTTCTTTTAACCTGCCAGATGAAGGAGCCCTTATGACCTGGCCATATTACGAGGGTCATATTTTGCAGCTAGTTAGTAAATTTCCAAACTCCTTAGGCACCCCCAAAACCAGGATTGAATCGGATCTAAAATAGCAGAGAAAGAATGTCACGTTCTCCTGACAAGACCGAGTAAAGCGGACTGTCTAGGTTAGATTTGGGACACACTTTCTTGGTCTCGTTTAGTTCCGATGCAGAAGTACCCGTCGACAGGTGCCCATCCGTAACTATACTAAGGTAAAGCACAAGCTTGGCGTAAATATACATTGCAACAGCTCACAAATCAGAAAGTAGCAGCGATTATTAATTCTAGGTTTTAGATGGTATGTATGTACGGCTGACTGCTGCTTTCAGCAAATCAAATGAATCCAGCCCGATTGACTTGGTCTTTGTGACTAAATGTAAGGAGGCGATGAAAATGCTCAGCAAAGGTCTCACACAAGACAAACCGAATAACTTCTACGAAATCACGTCAGTTATTCAGCGTAGACAATGTGCTCAGTTTATCTCATCACCAATTGGCGACGATTGCTACAGTCTCGACTGTGATGTGACTCAGTAGGCCGATAGCG